GCAGCCCTTTGCTTAATACAGACATGATGAAACTGCTCAATTCTATTGTATACATAAGTCCACTTACAAAGATGTAAATCTGCTAGTTAAGTATGGCAATGAGTTGGAGTGGTTCGGGGAAGTACAAAAATCTCAAGGTGCTTGGCTATTTTCTTGATGGGATGTCTCAATGTGCCAAGACACCTTTTCCCATCAAGGAAAATTTGTACTCTGACAATCTCCAAAGTTACTTTTCATGAAAATGGAAAGATCTGTCAGGTTGTGTTGCAGGAAAGATCCCTTGCCATTTCACAATGTAGATGGAGGCCAACTAGTGAACTAAAGAATCAGCTTTACTGAGAAATGCATTTCTGACTCACATTCTGATAGATAGCCAGCTGACATAACAGAAGCCTCAACCTACTTGCTCTTCATCCATCATCATCATCATCATCATCAAATTTATTTATATCCCACCCCTTTGAGATCAATCGGGGAGGCTAACAGCAATAAAATATAACACACAACAACAAAATGTAGTTCCCTCTCCCCCTTATTCTGATGTCTCTGTATTCTCTATTATGATGTCTCAGGGTGGCATACAATAAAACCAATCTGACAAATTTAGAACAGTGTTAAGACCAAAAATTGTTTTAAAAGATTAAAACATATTAAACAATTGAAGAAGATAAAAAGACAAATTAAAGGTATTTAAAATGTCTTTTCCGGCAATTCTACCGCACCCCAACATTACCTTGGCAAAACCCAGTCAGCAGGGCTTGAGATGACATTACAGAGCTATTTTCTACACCTCTTCTCAATCCCATTTAGTAGTGCACTGCTTTATCGTTTATTTTAATTCATTAATTTATTTCCACCTAATAGAACTTTTAAAAGAATGAATACAGATTCTTGACAACTCTATAAGACATAACACTGAAAAGCATATTAAAACAGGCATCACATTCAAAGCAATTTAAATGTACATCAGTAAAAAGTACAAAATCTATCCTCTGCTAAATGCTCCTTTGTCAGCAAATGAATAGCCCATTGTCAAAATCTCACCTGAATGCAAAGGACTTTCCCTGCTGATGGAAGGACAACAGGGAGGTCTCCAACTTTGTTCCAGCATAGGAGGATCCAAGCCTGAGAGCATCCACCAAAAGCCTCATCTTACAACATCCCCATATGTAACTATCTAATTGATGAGATGGAGAGAAACCATCTCCCTCAAAGTTTTAAAAACCATGGCACAGTCATAAGGAAAGTTACGATCCTTGCATTAATTGTGTTCTATGAGTTTCTAAGGCCAAGCAACACTGCCTTGAGTCCCTATATTGAGAGAAATGCAAGATATAAGAAATAATAATTTCTCATATCTTGCATTTCTCCCAATATAGGGACTCAAGGTGGTGGTTAGTTAGTTGCTTGGCCTTAGACACTTATAGAATTCATAAATAGTGTCCACAACATGCATGGAACATAAATATCACCCAAGATCCTGCATCATCATCATCATCACAATAAGGATGGAGTTTTGTCAACATAGTCATAACGAACCGTGCCCCCCAACTGTCTTCACAGCCTGGCAGTGCTCCAGCCAAAGCAGAGACTGGGATACTGATATCCACAACATGTTTCCAGTCATGAAGTGCCATGAGGACAGCTGGAGAGAGCCATCAGGTTCCTGCACAACTGGTTGTCCGAAGGCACCCCCAACTGGGAACAAGCTGTGGATGTCATTTCTCACTGCTCTGATCTCTAGCACCTAGGTAATAGTTCAGCTGGTGCACTGCTAAGCTCCTGACAGTAAACATGAATTCAAAATAGTTATGATATCAAAAATCCATCTGACGACATTGCAACTGCTGAACTGGATGTCAGCCATAATTTCCCACAATAATATTAATATTAAGATATACTGATTCTGATAAAACTTGCTTTTGAGAGTCTCACATTTGTTTCTAAACAGGGGCACATTTAATAAAAGCAAAGAATAAAAAGCTGCCAAGAGAAAGCTCAAGACACTTGTTAGGCATGTATTTTCTGAAGAAGGCTAAAGAAAGATTTATATTGTTTCAGGGTTAGAAACTTAATTGACCAACACTGACCTGCTGGAAGGTAATCTGACAGACAATTTAGCCTAGAGCTAAAAGACCTTCTTGCCCCAGACATGTGTCTGCTGGGTCACTGAACAAATAATGTCTTCCCAGGATTTCGTACTTTGCATTCTCTTAAAATAGTCCCCATTTTATGTGCATCCTATCTTTCACAAAGCATGTTGTGTTCTGAACTGCTTGTTGCTCTTTAAACACTCAGGAATTTGTAGACATTTTCATTTACCATTCGTTGTTATATTTTCTAATGTACATTGGCTTCTCCCATACTAGTTGTGTGAGCTGTAAGCATCCTACCTTTTTTAAATAGTAACTGTTAACTCCATCTGAGGAAGTAGACTCTAGTAGTCTATGCAAGCTCATGCCACCAGCTTTGGTCTTTCAGTTAGTCTCAACAGTGAGACACAATCCCTCTCCATACTGTTAACTCCAAAGTAAAGGATGGGATGATCATGTTAATATGGTTATGAATTGGAGTTGTGCAACCAATTCAGATGAATCCTGGTTTCCAAAGTAGATCAGGCCAATTTAGATCAATTTGGACAACAAAATCAATCTGATGACATTGTTGTGTACCCTCAAATCATTTCCGACTCATAGTGACACTATGACAGGGCTTGTTTGTTTGGTTATTTTGCAAGATTTGTTCAGAGAAGGCTGAAAACATGTGATTTGCCAAAGGTAACCCAGTGGGTTTTCATGGCCAAGCGGGGATTTGAACCCTGGCCTCCAGAGTCGAAGTCCAATGCGCAAACTGCTCCACCACACCAGCTCTCAATTTGGACATTCTGTTGATAAAATTAGGTTGGCCCAATTTGGTTCTGAGGTACAATGGCATGGTCCAAAGCAGTTCAATCCAGAAATCCAGATGTAAAAAAAATGGGATGAGAAACAAGGAGCCTAGGTTGCCACAGAAAAGGTGTAGTATTGACAGTGATGATTGTAATGTAAGAGTAAATTCCAGGATTTCTATCTGCCTTCACTGTAAACAGCAAATGAGCAGAAGTAAATTGCCAGGGCAAACATACCAGCTCAAATGTAAGAAATCTGCCAACCACCTTAAGAGACAGCATCAAGTAATCTTGCTTGGAATAAAAGGAGAAAGATGCTAGCATCTCTCCATCACTCCTCCCCAAGCCTCAGGTGATTAATTTTGATAGAGATGGGGTCAGGAAATTATGGGACTATGAAATGAAGTTTTCAAAGCTAATTCAGATCACCACATGCATTAAGGGGCACCTCAGAGATTATCAGGGAGAGCTCACCTATAGGATTGCCAATAAAGTATCTTCTGGTCACCCTCCTACTTCATTATGTTTCATCACTGAATCTCACCAGACAGGCTTCTGGAAGAATAAAGCAAAAGCAGCCTCTCCTTTCTCATGTCATCTTTGTATCTGATTACTATTAAACTTTTAAAAGCCTTATCTAACTGATGATATGAGACTTGCCATCCTAGTAAAATAAAGAAATAATATTTCAAATATTTTAAATAACATTTAAAACTATGTTAAATATTTTAAATAGATTTTAAAACTATTGATAGCATTTTAAAAGTATATCCATGTTACTACTTAATTTTAAGTGTTTTTTTAAATAATATAATTTTAAAAGTAGTTTAAATAGCTTCTCAAATAGTTTTGTAAAGCTATTTTTTTTTAAATGAAGTGAGAAGCATCTAAAAATTGATGCTATGCCTCATTGTCATCCTGCCTCTGCCATGTACTTCTTTGCTTTGGTGCAGTTCTTCAACTGATCCTCTGCATCAAGGATCTTCTAAGTGATGAGCAGACCCCACAGGGAACCCTGGAGGACTGCATCTCATCCACTGCACATCTGTGCAAATAAAGTGTTTTTGTCCCCTAATGCCCCCAAGCCCTGCTAGGAAATGTGTTTGGGGCAAATTGTCATGTTTTAGCTCCCTGGGTCAGTTTAACCCAGCCCCCTCCCCCCAAAAAGGACATTATTTCTTGTTTACTTTCTATTTTAAAAACATCCCTGTCCTGGACTAAAAATGGCCAAGAGGGGCCAAAAATATGGTGAAAAAGCCCCTCATGCTCTCAAGAAGCCTTTTGGGGCAGGTGAAATTGTAACTCTGATGGGCCACTAAAATAGCCCTAGGATGCTACACGCAGTCTACAGGGTGCATTTTGTCCTCTTCTGCTTTGCACACTGTAGGAAATTTCCCCAATACTAAGAGAGAATAAAAAGACAAAAGCAGCATGATTTGCCAAGACTGAGTAGTCCATAATTTTGTAAAAATAGTAATTTTTTTAAAAAAACCTACACAATTTATAGATGCCAGACAGAAACATAAATCTAGAAGCTGTCTGAAATGTAGCTGGATTAATTCACTCTTTACAGTCTTGTGCCCGAGTAGGGCAGAACACAGGTGTCTGTGTCTTGGAAGCCCTTTAAAAAATACCTATTGGCTGGGTCCGAGAACTGCCATTTTAATTTCTCAAAATGCATCTCATGTAGTGACATTTTAGAAACCATCCTTTATATTTCTAGCAGTGCCCCTACGATGTGGGATTAAGGACACTGTGACACTTAAAACAGGGACTTCCACTTTCCCACTGGAATCCCCATCTGCAACTGTCATTACCAAGTAAACCCACTGGCATAGAAGAGGCTCCACAAGAGCATAATGTTGAAGACTTTATCAAACCTGAAGTTTAGCCCTGTCGTGGTTTGAGAATTACCACTGGAATGCCTATTATCTTATGACTTTATCACACACGGCTTTTAAACTGTGATTAAAACAGGAAAAGTGTGCCTTTGGTGATGCTTATCACATGGCATCACCTCCAAAGAGTGGCTACTGTGTCTCTGAAGTGTGGTTAGGGCATCCTTTTTCATTTACAGGGAAGTCCCGTAAATAAACTCCCAATCATACCTATATTCCTTTAGCCCTGCTGCTGATGTATAGCCAGCACTGGGCAGTCGTGTCATGTGAATGTTTCCTCTTCTCATCCTCGCCAGATATGTATAATAAATTAAAATACTGGCAGATGAAATATGAATCCAAGATAAAGAATGAAATAGATCAGAAAATGAAAAGAAGAAAAAGAGAAAAATTTGAAATGGATAATAAATGTGGTAAGTGGTTGGGAACTAAGGTGAACAGCAGACCTGAGATGAAAACAATTACAGAAATAATTGATCAAGAAGGGAGAGCTACATTACAAGAAGACATTCAAAAAAAATTCCTTCGCTATTTCTCAGAAGTATACAAAAAAGATCTAGAGGAAGATAATGATAACAAAGCTTTTGAAAAATTTATATTAAATACAGAATATATGAAATTAGATGACAAAGATATGCGTTTCTTGAATGAAAACATCTCAATTCAAGAGGTTAAAGCAGCTATCCAGAGACTTAAATTAAGTCTCTGGATAGTTGCTTTAACCTTTTGAATCGCCTGGTCCGGATGGCTACATTCCGGAATACTACGCTAAAATGGTAACATCATTATCTGGACCTCTGAAAGATATGTTTAATGACATAACACAAAACAGAATCCTGGAATCATGGAAATATGCAGACATTGTCGTAATACCTAAGACAAAGATCCTACTCGTTTGGAAAACTACAGACCTATTTCACTGATGAATATAGATTACAAAATTTTCACAGGCATATTGGCAGATAGACTGAAAGAAATCTTTTTTTATTTTTTTTATTTTACACAAATAAAGTACACATACATAACATGTAACA